TRGGTTCCTTTAATTGCCTTTTCCACTTTGCTCGAGGAGGGACTACTATGGCTAGTGTTGCTGGAGGCAGCGGGTATTGCTGGGGATTTTTTCCTTATTTTATTATATCCAACCACCTGAGTCCCCAATCTGCTTTGAATGTCCAGTTTTAAATCCCTGTAAAGTCCTAYCCCCTGCCATTTTTTTTTCTTTTTCCATCCACCTTGCTGAGAAGCTGTCTGTCTGCTTTCTTGGTTTCATGCCACAGAGTAGTCAGGAAAGTGGCATCTCTATTCTGCCATCTTAAAACCCCATTTTGGCTCTTTTGAAGGATTTGTCTAAGTTATTCCCCTGGGTATACAGATGTTCATAGAATGCCCTGTAATCCTTATTTCTATAATATCAGTAATAATATCTTGTCTCCATTTTTGAATTTAGTAATTTTGAGTATTTCCTTTTTGCTTAGTCTAGCTAAAAGTTACTTATTTCTGTTGGTTTTTTCAAAGAATCAGCTTTTAGTTTTATTYATATTCTCTGTTGTCTTTCTATTCTCTATTTTATTTTCCTCTAATTTTTATTATTTCCTTCTTTATCTTAGCTTTGGGTTTAATTTTCTCTTCTTCTGGTTCCTTAAGGTTTATGATTGAATTGTTGATTTGAGATCTTTCTATTTTTTAATGTAAATCTTCTAGCCATACATTTCTCTCTTAGCAACTGATCTTACTGCATCCCCTAAAATTTGAGTATGTTGTGTTTTCATTTTCTTTTGTTGTAATTTCTCCCATAACCCACTGATTGTTTAAGAATTATTTAATTGTCAGGCTGTGATTGTAGCTCAGTGATGGAACACGTGCCTAGCATGTGTGAGGCACTGGGTTCCATTCTTAGCACCACATAAGGTTAAATAAATAAAATAAAGGTATTGTGTCCATCTACAACCAAAATAATAACAATATTTTTAAAGGAATTATTTAAATTGCCACATATTTGTGAATTTTTCAGTTTTTTTGGATTAGTGATTTATAGCTTCATTCTACTGTGGGAGAATAAATTCAGTATGTGTGAAAATTGTTAGATTAGTTAAGAACCATGTTGAGTTCTGAGTAACAAAAACTTATAAACAGTGGTGTAAACAGTGATGCAGTGGTTTCAGGATGTCATCAGGGACCCAGGTTCCCTTTTTGGACAGTGATCCTCAGCATGTTCTTGTTACTTGCCAAAAGACTCCCTAACTCCAGGCATCCCAGTGTTTTCCAAGCAGGAAGAAGGAAGTGTATTCTTGTCAGCTTAGTCTGTCTCTGATATTCTCTCTGAGCCTTCTCCCAGCAGCTCCCAATTATATCTAGTTGGCCATAATTTTGTCATGTGTCCTCTCCTGTTTGCAAGTGGCCAGAATATCCTTTTTAGCTGTGGATATTTCTGCCCCATATAAGCTTTTGAGGTTCTTGAAAGAATATATTCTCAGAAGACAACTAGCAGTCTGTCACAGGGAACAAGAGTCCACTGTTTGGAGAGAGATGATGGTGGCTGGTACTATAGTGATAGTGGGAGTTATAATGAAAAGTGACTGTATACTTGATGTATTTTTAAGGCAGCAGTCATAGGACTTAATATTGGATTAGCTATAGAAAGGAAAAAGAGGAGAAGAATAAAAGGTGACTCTTAGATTTCTGCCCTGACAATTCAGCAGATGTTAGCATCATTGACTGAAATAAGGAAAAACAGAAGCCAAGGGTATGTTCTGTTTTGTTGGTTTGTTTGGGGGATGGGTGGTAATCTAGAGTTATGTTTTATATACTTTAAATGTAAGATGATGGGGCTCATGATATAGCTTAGTAGTAGGTGTGTGCTTAGCATGAGTGAGGCCCTGGGTTTAATTCCTAGTATCCCATCCCATACCCCAGTTGAGATGACTGTTATATAGTTAAGTGGAAATCAATATTCTCTTGAATATTCCAGAGGATACTATTTGGGATCTTTTTCACAACTCACTACCCTCCTCAGAAATATTTCTCTATTTACTTTGGAGTTAATTCATTTTGTTCTTATAGAAACTTCACTTGTATGTGTTGACTTTCCACATATATCTGTTAAATTTTGTTCACTTAAATTTGTAGATAGAAGAGTATGTTGGTGGTAGAAGTATGCTCTGTGTARGTGACAGGCATGCTTCCCTGGAGGATGTGTGCAGATGGAAGACCTCAGGCTGGATGGCTGGAAATTTCCAAAGAATCTGTCTCTTTCATGGATATAACTTCTTTTGTAATGCTGGGAATTGAAACCAGGAACACTTTATCATAGAGCTACATGCCCAGCACGATTTATTTAGAGACAAGTTCTTGCTGAAGCTGGACTTAAATTTATAATCCTTCTGCCTCAACCTCCCAGTCCCTGGGATTATAGGTGTGCTTCACTGTGCCCAGCTTTTCTGTTCTTTTTTTTAAATCCCCTTGTAGTTGTCTGATGTGGAACTATGAGCTTCAGCAGGCTGTACTCTGTTTCTCTGTCAAGGTCCAAAAGTCACATGAAATCTCACCTAGGAAGATGGCACTTTTTAAAAATTCTTTTTATATATACATGACCATGGAGTGTATTTTCACATATTATACATACATGGAGTATAACTACCCATTCTTATGGTTGTACATGATGTGGAGTTTCACTGGTAGTGTATTCATATATGAATACAGGAAAGTTCTGTCTTTCCCATTCCCATCCCACTCCTTTCCCTTCATTCCCCTTTGTCTAATTCAATGAACTTCTATTCCACCCCACACACACCCACACCCACACCCACCTACTTTATTGTGTGTCAGAGATGGCACTTTTTGTTGAGAACAGTTTATTGACTTTTGGGTGAGTGATTAGGGAAAGATAGTAGGGCCAGCAGTGTGTTCTCTGTTAAGCACAGAAAAAGAGAACAATGTGAAGGGCCCAAGTGATCCTTCTGTTCTAAATGCAGCTATTTCATTAAAAATTGAAAACTGCCCTATGATCTGACTTTCTTTGTATATACTGACTTTGAATTTTTACTTCACCTGATTTCTGATGTTTAAAGTTGTACTTTTCCTGATTTTTTCCATTAAATCAATTCCATATTTTCTGAATTTTCTCAAACTTTCTGGATCCTGAAGTCTCACCTACTGATTTCCAGTATTACCATAGGTTCTTTCCTTTTGAAATAATGCTTTCAGTTAAGGCCCTGAAGCCTTGGAAAGTGGGAGAATGGAYACACGTGTGCAGTCCACTGTGCTGCAGCTCCTATGTGGGTTTGTTTTGCTTTTTCTGGCTTCCTAATATGAATGCCTATAGCATTTACTCTCACTGTAGTTTTACTGAAGCTTTGCATTTACAGAAGTATCAGATGACCATCCAATTAATAATAGAAAGTTAAACAGAGTAAAAGTAGGGGAGAAACTCTTCCCTCCTCCAGAGTTACTCCCTTGAGAAAATGATGTATTTCAAATCCATTTACACATTTTCCCATGTTTATGTTAGGGGGTAATTCTTGTTTTTTTTTTTTTTTTTTCAAAAATGAAATCTTATTTTTCTACTTCATTTTCATAGATGTTTCATTTATTTTCATTTTTTAGTAAATTCAATTAAAACAAATTTTTCAGTGTAAGAAGTTAAACTGTTTTTAACAGAGATTTTTGGAAATTTAAACAAAAACATTATGAGCAAAATAACAGGTATAGAAGTACAAGATGTATTTCGGGAATTTAGAATTAGACACACTTGGCTGGAGGAGAGGGACTGTTGGGGAATGCTGAGGAGCTTGAAGAGGTGGAGTCTGTGTGAGAAGGCAACAAATAGCATAAGTGGGAAACCACTGAAGATGTGAGTGTAAGGTCATGATGTTAACCRCTTACAGTAAAAATCTTAAAATAATCCAAAAGTATTTCTAATGAAAACATCATTCACTGAATGATTTTGTTGACCAGGTATGTAATAAATCTTCCACAGACTAAAGGAGATAACATATAGGATGGTGGTTTGAACTGTCAAGTGTTCTACAATGATGTCAAGTTTTCCTTGGCCACGTTGACAATGTAGAGGTACATTAGGATGCTTCTAAGGCCACCCAGTCTCCCTCAATGCTGTCTTGATTGTGTGGTGGAAGAAGTACCTGGTGATGACTTAGGACTCACAATCTAGGCTACTAATCATCTGGGTATTTTGGGGAAAAGAACTTCAACTTTCTATTCTTGTGTAAAATAAGGATTAAGACTAGATTATCTCTAAAGTGGCTTTATCTCTATCAATGGTTCTATGATTCTAGAATAGTTCTTACATACCTTGCTTAAGTACCAATTATTTCTTTAGGCACTTTATAGTATTCATGTAATAATGCCAAGATGAGAATCATCAGGAAATGCTATGTCAGTATACTTTCCTTCCCTCCCTCACTCCCTCCCTTCCTTCTTCCTCCCTCCCTTCCTCCCTCCTTCCATTCATTCCTTCCTTCCTTTCTCACAGTTCTGGGAATTGAATCCAGGACTTGAGCATGCTAGGCAAGCACTCTACCACTAAGCTACATCTCCAGTTTTAGAATATTTTCACAACCTTTTAAAAATCACATGACATTTGTTCTGACAGTTCTATTTTATTTTTACTTTTCTTTCTGCTTAAAGTGGCTGTGCATTATTTTGATTTTACAAAATTATAATACTAAGGAAGCTAGTAGTACATATACATATACATTTATTTGAAAAAGTTTGAAACAGCAATTATAAGAAAAATACTTTTTTAGGTTCAAAAACTATTTTATATCTTTAATGACTATTGGAGGGCTGGGGATGTGGCTCAAGCGGTATCTCGCTCGCCTGGCATGCGTGCGGCCCGGGTTCGATCCTCAGCACCACATACAAACAAAGATGTTGTGTCCGCCAAATACTAAAAAATAAATATTAAAAAATTCTCTCTCTCTCTCAAAAAAATAACTATTGGAAGAATAAAGTGACCTTAACAAATATCCTTTTATTACAAGTAGTTTAAATTAAAACTTCTTCTTTTATAAGGTGGCTTTTTCATCAAAAGAATACTTTCCATCACATTTCAGACCAGAATATATAGAATTGAAACCAAAATATCAGGTGAGTCCTGAGTTATCCTATCTCAATATCAAGTATAGTTAATTACTGGGCTTCTCCAATACTTAATTGATACATATATACTTAATTCATACACTACATATACAATACAGATGTAGAAGTACAAGGTGTATTTCAGGAATTTAGAATTAGACACACTTATATGTGATTTAAAGATTCCAAAACCATGCTACTCATTAGAAACACCTGTCTTTAAAAGTATTTAATCACAGGTCTCATCTGACTTAATGAATCTCCATCTGGAAATGGAAACTGGGAACCTGCATTTTTCAAGAAACTTCAKGGGATTCTTAGTGTGACCCACTAGCATTTCTTACTCTGTATCCACCAGCATTTGTAAACCATTATAATATTTACATCCATTAAAATAACCTTGAACTACTAAGTTAAAATAAAACAAATATTAAGCTGATTATTTCAGATTTTGCATTTTTTAATTGTATAATGTAGAAGTTGTATGAAAAGAATTTGAATGAAAAACTTCATTTTGAAGACTTTCAGTGATAGAATAGCTTGATCCCAAAACTACAAATTGCTTATTTTTTACACTGAAATTTCACTTTTAGCCCAAGTTTTTGTATGCTATTCTCTTTTAACCATTTCTAAATCAAATACATTATGCATCAAAAAGCAAGAATCCACTGTGACATGTTGAGGATTGGGTTTCATCAGTTTTGAAACTCTCTGACTTAAGGAGATGATATTTGTCCCCAACAAAGTCTTAAATGATATTATGATACTTTTCATAGGATGTCTACTATTTGCTTGCATTCTTAAAAAATTTCTTACATTGCTGATAAACACTTATATGGCTAAGACTTAAATCCTGATATTAGCCACTGTTTTACTATCTAAGCAAACACAGCTAACACTGGAAATTCATTCAGTAAGAAGCTTTTTGTGGGTGACTATTCCAAGTGCAAAAGCATTTAGATACGAGGTAGTGTCAAAATTAGGAATTTGATATTTTTGCTTTAAAAGCTTTTTTTAATTCAAGTTTTAAAATAATTAGTTTGTAGAAAGTAGGAGGGTGAATCGATAAATTGACATTRTTCAAAGAAAATTGACTAGAAATTTTATTATGAATTCAAAGTAAATGCTACAGAATTTCTTATTTATATTGCARTTTCAGAAATTCAACAAAGGCGGTTTTGATCCTTTTCTAAGGAACATAAACAAGATGTCGGTCAGGAAAAGGAAAGACCAAGATATATACCAGTTTARAAATGTTTTAAGTCAGGAGGTTATAGAGCATGAAGACCAAGATCCTCCTTACCCAACACGTTCAAAACCTGGAGGATATAGCAGTGTATCCTGGGCCCATGATCCTGATACCTTCCCAAAAAAGAATAAGTCAGCTTGTGATCCTACTATCAATGCAATGAAAACTTTGGACCCTAAGAGTAAGCCAGCCCATGATCCTGCTATCAATACAATGAAGACTTTAGACCCTAATAATAAGTTAAAAGAAAAACTACCAAGTTTAACTTTACCAAGCTTAAGAGAACCACCAATGACTGGAAACATAAATACCTTTTGCCTCTCAAAKTCATTAAATTTTACCCCTCATATAGAAAATTTAAAACAATCAATAGTGCTCAAGTCAATTTTAAGTAAAAATCTGCAAGATCTTTCAGATAAGTTATTTTCTAAACCAGAAGTTTGTCTGAACACTGAAGCAATGAAGAAAAGTAGTTCTTCACATCTATGCATTCAGGACAAACCAGTCAGTGATTTGGAAATAAAAGCATTGGAACCAATTCAAGATTTAAACTGCCAGCTTTCAGAAAAAGACATTTCAAAGTCAAAGTCTCTTTTAAATCAAGTAATTAAAAACATCACCTCAGATTTACTTTCAGAAGGTAAACCAGGAAAATCTCCAGATGTAGAAGACGTTGTCTCGGAGGCTGATGGAATAGATTTTTCAATGAAAAAGAAAAGTTGTTTCAAAAAGAAACATATAACAAGTGAAGTGTCTAGCCCTATGCTGGGTTTCAGTGGAAGTATACACGACTATATTATAAAGCAAATATTCACTGCACCTATCTTTTCACTGTTGGAAAAAAGCATGAAAGAACTGAGTGAGACACAGATGAACCTGCAGGATCAGTTACTCAAATCTTGGGAGACAAAATTGTCTTCCAATATTCTAGTTAACTATGGAGATAAGGATGATGAAATAAAATTGCCACAGCCCAAATCTGTGATAAGCGAGATAATACAAGCATTTCCTATAGATACACTTTTAGAATCTGGGATAATCAAAGTGATGGAACTAGATAAAGAACAACAGATGGGTGCTTTGGTAGATACAGAGAAATCCTCTTCTGAAGAAACCCTCAGGGATTCCACAGAAGATGATTCAGAAATCAAATGCAAAACACAATTTCTTTCAAGACCCAGTGTTCCCAAAGAAGGCACTTCTTCTATACGTAGAGTTGAATTTGTAGAAGACAGACAAAACATGTTCCTACATGATTCAGAATATCATTCAACACCAGACATAAAAACAGATTTGTCACGTCAGGGGCTTGATGGAGAARAAAGTGACCTAATGTTTGATTTAGAAAGTTTCAGTAACTTGCTAACAGATAACCTTCATGAGTCTGATCCACCAATGTTACAATCCTTTTTAAAAAACGTATTTAATGCTTTTTTCAAATATAATCAGCCTGAAAGAAGACAGCAACCAGAAAAGGAATTAGAAAATCTAATTCAACATTCTTTTCCAACTTACATAGAACACTCTGAAGAAATTCAAGGGGATTCAGATAAAGCAGACAGATTAGACAGAAAAGCTGTTTTGAGTCCAAAGCTACGTGTGTTTCTAGAAGAACTCTCAGAGTCAGAAATTAAAAATTTAAAATCTGAATTGAGTAAACATATACAGCATTATCTTGTAGAAAGACTTTCAGAATCAGGACATATCACCAAGGAGGATTTACCAAAAATCTACCAAAATCTGTATCTGATGAATGAGAAAGAACTGAAAGAACAAAATGCTTTTCCAGGGAAATATTCAGAAACTGTTAAAGAAATCATGTCTTTTGTAAATAAATTTAATCATCAATTCATAGATAAACATTTAGAAATAAAGCTAAGATCTTTTTTAAATGAAATTCTCCAAAACTATTTCCTTACAAACTTTGCAGAGAGCAGTTTATTTAATGAGACAGAATCCATGACTATCCACTCAAACATGTCTTCTCTAAGAACCCAAAGTGCCTCATTATCTCCTCATGATATTTCAAGGGGGAGTTTTGGTAGAAGGCTTGAAATAAACATGAAATATCCTTTAAATCAACCTCTACAAAGCCTACTTAAAGCTTTATCAGAAAATGACTTCTTAAATTTAAAAGATGATTTAAGCAAACAGCTCCAGAGACTTTTTATAGAAAAGCTTTCAAAATTAGGACTAATGACAGAGAGGCAATTAGAGGGGGTCAACGAGCATGTAAGCTTAAGTGATTCTGATTCAATACCATTAAAATATATAAAAACAGATTTACCTTTCCGAGATGAAAATTACTTTGTGGGGGAGCATTCAGAAAAGCAAAGTAAATATTCAAAACTTGGTCAAAACACTTTACCAAAGGTTTCTGAGGATAAACGTATCAGACCAGAATTGGTCAGAACTGAAGAAAAGGACTATTCTTCTTTGAAAAATTTAAAAGAGAATCCATCAACAATTAGGGAACAGAAAAATTATTTCCCTGGAGAAGGAATTAAAGCAATAAGTTTAATAAAAGTACAGCCTTCCAACAAAAATATCCAGGCTGTTCCATTAAATAAGTCATCAGACAGAGCTACAGATATATTGTTTAAGAAATACAAGAAAGAACATGATTTCCTGCAATTTCCTCGAGCAGAAAATTGTATTTATACAACAGAGATTCAAGACCCATACAGTTGGGAGGGTAAATCAAAAATAGTTTCATCAAAAGTTTGCTGTGAAAGGACATTGAAATTGAAGCCCTTTGATAGAAAGGAGAACATTAACATTTGCAAATTTACTGCTCAGGAAAAAACAGAAACAGTACTGCCATCGTATTCAAGAATTCCTAGTTGCAAAATGCCAAGGGAAGAGGAAGATTATTTAAATAGATTCGCCTCCCCTTTCTGGCAGAATAACTCTTTATCTGACTTCAATTTAGAGGCTGAAGAACAATCGAAGTTAGACCTGTACTGTCAGAGATTGAAAGGAAACAATAACAACAATAAAAAACATTTAGTAACAGTCACACAAAATGAAAGAGAAATTCAAAATCTTTCTATAAGCCCAAATGAAATTTGCAATGAAAAATATTCCAAGGTCCCCAAACCACAATCCTTTAAATATAAAGAAAATAAGAAAAACTCAAAACCATCCTTCTTCCYAGAAGTATTAAAGAGAGAAAACATAAAACCCAAGGTTCGAAAAGAAAAAGATCATGCCACCAAACCAAAAAAGTCACTTAACAAGGTAGTTAGGATCCTACCAACCACGCTGCCTACTACAAGAAGTCATTTAAGGAAATCTGCGCCAAGGACTTTGCTTCACTGGACTGCACGGAAGACTATACACGTAATATTGTTTTCCCTGTCTTCTACTTCTCTTATTTGTCAAAGTTCTATCAATAACTTCCCTTAAGCCTGAATGCAAGTGTGGGTATAAATTTAATTGCCCCAGGAGATACAGACCTCCAAGCTTAAAAATTCTTTTGGAATTCAAATTATCACCTTGCCTGATTGATAGTCTAACCACAAAATCAGGGGGGACTATTAATATATCTAATACCTTTTTATGAACTAGATAAAGGGCAGCCTCTCTGGGACAGGATTTAGAAAAAGATGTCCTTTCCTCTGGGCGGACCCTCCATCTGGCATAGCCTAGAACCTCTAGGAACCTGCTGCATATTTGCATGGGTCAAAATTAGCCAGGGACCTTTGTGCAACAGCCTGCGTGACCTTTAGTAGTGGTGGAATACTGTAGAAACATAATTCAGATTTTCTTTTCTGAGAGATTTAACTATAAATGTTTAAGGCTTTTTTCAGATAGCTGAATTTATCTGTAAATAAATGTGATACTCCTATGTGCTAGTTATTCTGCTAAGAACTAGGGATATGCAGAATTTACAATCTGTGGATAATGAATTGAAAATTTTTAACTTCTTTTTTCTTCTTTTACCACCACTCCTCTGCTATATCATATGCTGAGATCTTGAGAATTCAAGTCTATTCTTAGCATTAACATAAAATAATTAGGAAGGTGAATCTGTTACTAGACTGTACAAATGGTTCTAAAGCACTTAAAATTTAGGAATAGAAGGTACTTATTTTAATTTTCGGAACCAATACTTTTCTCAGTATGTATTACAGGCATAACTCATAAATTTAAAAACTCATAAGATCAACAGTTGATCTCAAATTGATATTTTGATGTGCAAGATCCTGCCTCTGAATGAGAAAGTAAATATAATTTCAAAATATTTGCTTTGAATATGTTTTCCACAGTAAATAAAGCAGGTTATTAGCTTTACAGTGGCAGGGCAAAAATTATATACCTATATATTATATACTATATATTATATAGCTAAATATTCTATTAGCTATATAGTGGCAGGGTAAATATTCTTATCACTTGTACTCTTGAGTTTGGATTTTTTCTTTTCTATCTAAATTCAATCATTTAATATTGAACAAGCAAATGTTGGGGTGAGTGTGGGGGGGTGTGCATATGAAGAAAAGGAAGTTGAAGATAGGCTCATAGTTTTTGGCGAAAAAAAAAATTTCTGAAGTTCCTTTAGACAAATGGAATCTTTAATACAACTTCTTCAAATGAAAAAAAAATTGCATTTATGTCAAACACTGTAACAACCCTTTACTTAACAGYGGAYGAGGGAGTTAGGATTCTCATTCTTGTTATTTCCCTCTGTTAAGCCAAGTGTTTCTTAACTTTAGAATTGAGTGATAAGAGGCAATTGTCAGATGATCAGAAAGGTACTCATTTTATTTTCTAAACCCTAGGAATCTTCAAAAGCCTCTAATCAGAAGCAAGATAAGTTGAGCCATAGGAGCTCTCAGAAAAGGAAGCAGTGGTGTGGGTCTCCAAGGCCTTCCACTGATCCTTGTAGTTAGTGATCAGCTGTGGAACYAGTTAAGCACTACTCACTAACATAGCAGAAAGTCTTAAAATTTGAGCTTGCCTTATTATTCCAGGAAGGTAAGAGGAAGGAGGAAGTTCTCCCTGCCTTCTCCAAACCCAGGCACAGAGGTAAAGTAGATGGAATTGGCCTTCCTCTTCATACCTTCTTTTTTCTAGATCTTTTTCTGGCTGTCTTAATTCTTAACAGTTCCTCCCAACCTTCCTGACCGCTCAATTTTATCAGTGCACTCTCCCCATGTCTCCACTCAAAGCAGCCCATTTCTTTGCTGTGGCTGTCTCTGCGAGGTGTCGAGGAATGGACTGCTCAAACTGCTGAGAGAACTAGTTTATACTAAAACTACCCAAAGAGGTACTTATAGATTATTATGTTTTTAACTATAAAATATTTGTTATAGAAAATTTGAAAAAAGAGAATTAACATTTTTCTCTTATTATTTCAGTGTATATCCTTCCAGTTACTTTCTTGAATGTTATACTTGTTTTATTCTCAGAATGTACATTGAAATTTTTATTTGAAATTTTTTATTTTAATGTAAACATTACAACCACATTCTTGCATGCTGTCTGTGCTCTCTTTCTCTAAATACACACACACACACACACACACACACACACGTATAAAGACTAAAGATTTATTAAAGTAACCTTTAGAGAATGAAAGGTCAAAGTTTGGATGATGTAAAAAGCTAAATATAAAAGTTAATCATTTATATTTGGGGTTAGGGCAACAGAAGTTTTGTTGGAAAAAGAATTGCAACGTAGCTGGCCAACTTTGCCTAAGAATCTGACCCCTGAGTATAGCTCCCTTAGGCTTTTCTAGTTTCCAGATTCATCTCTTCCATCCCTTTTGAAATACAATATTTTTTGGAACAGTAAGATTTTTAAAAAGCCTGGTTTCTAAGGTAGCATCTAAGGGAAATCATTGAGTGTAGAGTCTGAATCTGGGGATGGCCCAGGAAGTATTCGGTGCTTTCATTCTCTTTGTCAATATTACAAACTTTAGTCCTTGTAAATTTCAAGTGTACTTTTTAACTTACCAATTTGATGTTTTATTTTAAAATTTAGGATTGTTCAGATAGATTTGAGGATCTACAAGAGCCCTCAATGCAGCATCTTAATAAAACAAAATCAAGAGTAAGACTTTTAGCAAAGAGCCCAGATGATAGCCATATTCAGGCAAAACAAGCTGCAAGACCTTATACTGCTCCAGAGCCTAACAAACGACGAGAATRCTACACTGGAAAATTCACAAGTCCTCGAGTGGTTTCATCAGGATTAGCTAATACAAATGATACAACCCCAGATTATGAAATACGTAAAATGCAACCAAAAAAAAGATTAAAAGAGGATATTGAAAAATGTTCGCTCATTTGTGATATTATCCAAATGTTAAAAAGTTCAGAATGATATGTGAGGCCAACAGTCAGAATTATCACTTCTCCATTAACAAAATGGTTTGGAACTCTGTCCTTGTATGTGATAGAAGTTAGCAACCAAATTCCATCTTGTTAGAACCATTTTGTTACAATTAAAATGAAAAATAAACACATTTGATGTAAACGTGTTTTTGTTTATAAGCCTTAGGGAACCAACCCAGAAGTATATATCTAGTTGATATTCACTAGAAAACTTGTTTCCCAGCTTTCCCCCTTTTTCACAAATATAAAAATATCACTCCATATTTCTTTGACTTCTCCCAACCTTTGTGACACTCTAAATTATCGATGTCCACCCAGTTTTCAGATTCTCTTTTTGTAGTGATCTATGTTTAGTCTTTTTTGTTATGAACAAATTTTACACATCAGCTCTAGTTATATTCCCTAGACTAAGCAGTTCTCTGAGTCTGTAGAACTTCTGCTAATTTAACATCTAATAATTGCTTCCCCCCACCTCCAGTGCTGGGGATCAAACCCAAGACCTTGTGCTCTACCACTGAACTACACCCCCAGCCTTGGTAATATATCTTTTTACACTATAAATAAGGATAATAAAAGCTTTTAATGCTAATTCCTGAGGCATCTCCACCTAGAGTGACTTTAACTTTCTAAATTGAAAACTCTTGAATCTTTTTAATTGCACCAAAATTAGGAAATGGCACAACAACATATAATCTAAAATCAAAGGATTTAAATCAGAGATGTCTGAGAATTGGTTCTATTTCTATAAAGTATAGTCTTTACTGAACTTTACTTTTGAAAAAAAACAAAAATGTCAATTTACAGAATTTTTGTCAGTTTTAATCTTTTTACAAGAATTTATAAAGACTTGAAGGTTTAAATACGATTGCYTAGTGGAAAACATAATTCCTGGTCATTCATTCCATGTTATTAACAGGGTGGTAATTTTTTTTTTTTTAATGGAAACCAAGAATTTCCTGCAATCCTGAAAGTTGTCAGTACAGATAATTTGACTTAGGATTTTTTACCTTTATGATAGTGTGAAACTGATATGCATTAAATAGAAGCCATACTTTGAATTTGGAATTTTGATGTTTTCCTGGGTTAGTRGTACACACACTGTCCTCACATGCTGGTAGGCAGAAGCAGTGAGCTATCACTCCTAGTCAGCTACACAGTCATCAGAGGAAGCTATGAACTCTGCACCGTGCTGTTCGGCTAAGCCCTGAGGTTTTGTAGGTTAGATGTCTTAAATGTGTTTTCCACTTGGAGTTATTTTCAATTTACAATGGATTTATTAGGACAAAACCCTTTAAGACAAGGAGCCATTATACTTGTACCAGTTAGCATGGAACTGGGAAAACACAACTCCAGAACTTTCGGGTAGAAGGAATACAGGAAATTGGTTTTATGAACAATGGAACTAAGGCTAAGAAAACAAAAGCGTTAGTGAGGGAACCCAGAGATTAGCAAGAACTGAAAGTGCTCCCACCTCTGAGCTGAAGGGGAAGCAGGAGAAGGTGAAGTTATCAGAGTCTTAAAGCTGGAAGACAAGATACAGCCATTGCCAGGAAACAGGAATGGGGCACAGGGTGAGAAATACCATGTTTCTTCCCTGGACACCGGAGAAGGAGGGTGCATGGGAAACATAGTTCCTGGTTCAGCAGAGTGAAGAAATGGATTTGAGAGCTAATAGGCAGTTGATCGATGGTGCTTAAGAGGAAAATCTCTGATCTGGCTTGAAGTAAAGGAGAAATTACTTACTAGATGGAAATCTCAAGTTCCTTTAGCTCATTACAATTTTAATGACAATATTGTGACCCACAATGAATTAAAAATTTCTTACCATAGAAATCTCTAAAATTGTCAAGTCCTTTTTAAAATTCATACACTTTATTCAAGAAAGAATTTGTTAAATATTTATTAAACATCTATAATACGTCAGACATTTTTGCTAAATACTAGGAGTATCCTACTATTTAGAATAAGACTATAGTCTTGAAGAGTCCACAGACTGACTAGTCAGAGACATAAACACAGAAGTCATTAAAATAGATTTGTGTTAAGGAAAGCTCTATAGAAGCTTACAGGTGTTTTAACTCAGACGACTATGCTAGCTTGGGTCCTTCAAAAAGCAGGCATCAAGATAAAGTTAGACATTATGCTACAGTCAAACTAATGGCCCCCAAACCTGTCCGTATCCTAATTCCAGAGGGGATTTTGCAACTATAATTAAGGGTCCTGAGGTGGGAAAATTCTCCTGGATTACTTGGCATAAGGGTCAATCAGAGGTGATGTGTCCACAGAAGTAGAGGTTGAAGTCATGCTGTGTCATGAGGCAAAGGAAATCAGGAAGCCTCTAGTCGCTGAAAGGTAAGAGATTCTCCTTTAGAGGCTCCAGAAAGAATAGCCCTGTCAACCCATTTTAAACTTAAGGCCTCCAGAACTTTTAAGATAACAAATTGTGTTMAGCAATTAAATCTGTGGTAATTTGTCAGAGCAGCAGTAAGAGACATGAAAAAGATTTTTTTGGAGGAGAGTGGGGAGCCTTTRAGGAAAAATGAGGAGACTGGGAGATCTGTCAGTCATGGAGTAGGTCTGACCACTGTGAAAGAGGGAAGAACACAGGTTAGACCAGGAAATGTCAGAATGCTGTGTCACTATGTTAATATCAGCACAGCTGATGGAGAGTCCCCTAGCCAAAGGCACTCATCACAAAATGCTTTTGTCTACTAGGAAAGTTAGTTTAATCAGCCTTTTCACTGCTGTGACTAAAAGACCAACCAGAATACCTGTAGAGGAGGAAAAGTTTATCTGGGGGCTTATGGTTTCAGAGGTCTCAATTTATAGACAGCAGACTCCATTCCTTGGGGCTCCAGGTGAGGCAGGATATCATGGCAGAGGGAAGTGACTCAAGTCATGATCAGGAAGCAGAGAGAGAGAGCYATACTTGCCAGATACAAATATATACCTGAAAGCCATACCCCCAATGCTTCACCTCCTCCAGCCACACCCCATTTGCCTTCAGCTACCACTCAATTAATCCCATCAKGAGACTAATTCGATGACTGGTTAAGGACCTCATAATATTTCTTGTCTGAATCTTCTTTCATTGTCTCACATGTGAGCTTTTGGTGAATACCTTACATCCAAACCATAAAAGAAAGATCTGACTTACTATCCTGGCTGCCAGGAGTAAGGACTGGAGTGAGGAAAGTATAGTAGGAAGAATTATATCATCCCAAAGATGACAACACAGTAAACATCAGAACCTATGAATATGTGAGGTTGTACAACTAAGGGGAATCAAAGTTGCTTATCTCTTGACTATGTGGCAGGGAAATTACCTTGTATTATTTGGCTATGACCAGTATAAATCACTAGGGTGTTTAAAAAGAAAAAATGTCTGGGTGGAATGTGATGGACATCATTATCCAAAGTACATGTATGAAGACATGAATTGGTGAACATACTTTATATACAACCAGAGGTATGAAAAATTGTGCTCTATGTATGTAATTTATGGAAAAAAAAAGACTCTTCCCAACATTGCTGACTTTGAAGTTGACAATAAGCTGAGGTGGGCTATAAGCTGAGGAATATGGATAACTCTAAATGCAGGAGACAGCAGGGTAAAATGGATTCTCCTACAGAGCCTCCAGAAAGAATGCAGCCTGCCCACACCTCAGATTTACCTGAGACCCAAATTATAGAACTACAAAACAATAAGTTGGTATTGTTTTAAGCCACTAAATTTGTGATTTGGTATAGCAGCCATAGAAAACTAATACAGCAAGTGAGGTGACTATGATAGAAAATTCAAGGTACTCATGCAAAAGATGAAGCTGTCAATTATAATACCCAATGTCATGGTTAATTTTATGGCTCAATAGTACTAGACCACAGGATACACAGATATGTGAAATATTATTCTGGGTTTTCTGTAAGGGTGTTTCTGGAAGAAATCAACATTTCARTTGGTGAGCTAGTAAAACAGACTGTCATCCCTAATGTGGGTGAGCCTTACACAATCAGTTAAAGACTTGACTAGGTCAAAAAGGCTGAACCTTCACCAAGTAAGAAGTTCCCCTCACCCAACTGCCTTTAACTGGGACACTGGTTTTTCCCTGTCTGGCCTCAAACTGAAACATTCACAATTCCTAGGTCTTAAGCCTGACAACCTTTGGACTTGAACTCTACTACGGGCTCACAAAGCACATCAGGAACCTGTCAGCTTCTGCAATTGCATGAGTTGATTCTTCAAAATAAATGTGTGCATATATACATATATTTGTATACAAGTTAATAAAAAACTTGAAACACAATCCTTTTTATATTATTGCCTAGACCTTTYTAAGAAGGAAGGTTGGGATTACTCATAATGCAGCTACTAAGACCTTCCAAGGAGAAAACATTCAGAATGGATAGGAGGGATGAAGAGGATGAAGCCCCAAGAGCAACTGCTGTACATAAAGATTTTATGTATTTTATTACATAAAAAATATACATTTTACACATGTATATATGACAGACATACACATATATATTATATACACACACATTCTCTTGTTTCTCTGGAGAACCTTAATATTCCCATAGATCTGAGAGGCACCATTTATGAGCTCTCAACCCACCTTTTGCACTATACACATGCAGAACTACCCTACAGATGTGGGAAAACCTGTGAGGTACCCCTGGGACTCTGACTAAGGGGAATTCAGAAGGGAGAGGTTTGTGGGAATGAACCTCAGCCCCCACCACTGCAGCTGCTCCCAGGGCCTTGACTGGTCTTTATCCTCTCCCTCCTCTACTACCAGTCTAAATTCTTTCACCTTGGCAGGTTTTGGTGGCTGCACTAAAAGGAGTAACCCAATCTTTGTTCTTGAAAGGATCTAACCAATAAACATAAAAGGGATTATGTTAAAGTTGCTTGTGAATTTGTATATTATTTATCATTT